TTTACAAGTCTTAGTGACAAAGAGAAAATCCTGAAAGCAGCCCTGGACAAGGAGTCTGTAACATACATGGTAACAATATTAGATTGGTAGCAGACTTACTCACAGAGACCTGGCAGCCCAGAAAGAGCTGGCATGATATAGTCAGAGTACTAAATGAGAAAAACATGCAGCCAAGAATACTATATCCAGCTAGGATATTATTGAAAATCAGAGATATAAAAAGCTTCCAGGACAAAAACTGAAAGAATTTGTAAACACCAAACCAGCTCTACAGGAAATATTGAAAGGGGTCCTCTAAGCAAAGAGACAGCCTCCAAGTAGTAGACCAGAAAGGAACGGAGACAATATACAGTAACAGTCACCTTACAGGCACTACAATGGCACTAAATTCATATCTCTCAGTAGTTACCCTGAATGTAAATGGGCTAAATGCCCCAATCAAAAGACACAGGGTATGAGAATGGATTAAAAAACAAAACAAAACAAAAAACCATCAATATGCTGTCTACAAGAAACTTATTTTAGACCCAGAGACACCTCCAGATTTAAAGCGAGGGGGTGGAAAACAATTTATCATGCTAATGGACATCAGAAGAAAGCTGGGGTGGCAATCCTTTTATTAGATCAATTAGATTTTAAGCCAAAGACTATAATAAGAGATGAGGAAGGACACTATATCATACACAAAGGGTCTGTCCAACAAGAAGATCTAACAATTTTAAATATCTATGCCCCTAACATGGGAGCAGCCATTTACATAAACCAATTAATAACAAAATCAAAGAAACACATCAACAATAATACAATTATAGTAGGGGACTTTAACACTCCCCTCACTGAAGTGAACAGATCATCCAAGCAAAAGATCAACAAGGAAATAAAGGCCTTAAATGACACACTGGACCAGATGGACATCACAGATATATTCAGAACATTCCATCCCAAAGCAACAGAATATGTGTTCTTCTCTAGTGCACATGGAACATTCTCCAGAATAGATCACATCCTGGGTCACAAATCAACTGGTACCAGAAGATTGGGATCATTTCCTGCATATTTTCAGACCACAATGCTCTGAAGCTAGAACCTAATCACAAGAGGAAATTTGGAAAGAACCCAAATACATGGAGGCTAAAGAGCATCCTTCTAAAGAATGAATGGGTCAACCAAGAAATTAAAGAAGAATTGAAAAAATTCATGGAAACAAATGATAATGAAAACACAGCAGTTCAAAATCATTGCAAAGGCAGTCCTGAGAGGAAAATATATTGCGATACAAGGCTTTCTCAAGTAACAAGAAAGGTCTCAAATACACAACCTAACCCTAAATATATAGGAGCTGGAGAAAGAACAGCAAAGAAAGCCTAAACCCAGCAGGAGAAGAAAAATAATAAAGATCAGGGCAGAAATCAATGAAATAGAAACCAAAAGAACAGAAGAACAAATCAACAAAACTAGAAGCTCGTTCTTTGAAAGAATTAATAAGATTGATAAGCCCCTTATCAAAAAGAAAAGAGAAAGGCCCCAAATAAATAAAATCATGAATGAAGGAGGAGAGATCACAACCAACACCAAAGAAATACAAACAATTATAAGAACATATTATGAGCAAGTATACGCCAGCAAATTGGACAATCTGGAAGAAATGGGTGCATTCCTAGAGACATATAAACTACCACAACTGAACCAGGAAGAAATAGAAAACCTGAACAGACCCATACCAGTAAGGAGATTGAAGCAGTCATCAAAAATCTCCAAACAAACAAGAGCCCAGGGCCAGATGGCTTCCCAGGATAATTCTACTAAACATTTAAAGAAGAATTAATTCTTATTCTCCTGAAACTGTTCCAAAAAATAGAAATGGAAGGAAAACTTCCAAACTCATTTTATGAGGCCAGCATCACCTTGATCCCAAAACCAGACAAGGATCCCATCAAAAAAGAGAATTATAGACCAATATCCTTGATGAACACAGATGCAAAAATTCTCACCAAAATACTAGCCAATAGGATCCAACAGTACATTAAAAGGATTATTCACCACGACCAAGTGGGATTTATTCCTGGGCTGCAAGGTTGGTTCAACATCTGCAAATCAATCAGTGTGATACAATACATTAATAAGGAACAAGAACCATATGATACTCTCAATAGATGCTGAAAAAGCATTTGACATAGTACAGCATCTTTTCCTGATCAAAACTTTTCAGTGTGGGGATAGAGGATACATACCTCAATACCATCAAAGCCATCTATGAAAAACCCACAGCAAATACTATTCTCAGTGGGGAAAAACTGAGAGGTTTTCCCCTAAGGTCAGGAACATGGCAGGGATGTCCACTCTCACCACTGCTATTCAACATAGTACTAGAAGTCCTGGCCTCAGCAATCAGACAACAAAAAGAAATAAAAGGCATCCGAATTGACAAAGAAGAGGTCAAACTCTCATTCTTTGCAGATGATATGATACTTCATGTGGAAACCCCAAAAGACTCCACTCCAAAATTGCTAGAACTTATACAGGAATTCAGTAAAGTGTCAGGATATAAAATCAATGCACAGAAGTCAGTTGCATTTCTATACACCAACAGCAAGAGAGAAGAAGGAGAAATTCAGGAGTCAATCCCATTTACAATTGCACCCAAAAGCATAAGATACCTAGGAATAAACCTAACTGAAGAGGCAAAGAATCTATACTCAGAAAACTATAATGTAATCATGAAAGAAATTGAGGAAGACACAAAGAAATGGGAAAAAGTTCCATGCTCATGGATTAAAAGAACATTTTGAAAATGTCTATGCTACCTAAAGCAATCTACATGTTTAATGGAACCCCTATCAAAATACCATCAATTTTTTCTTTCAAAGCAATGGAACAAGTAATCCTAAAATTTATATGGAACCAGAAAAGACTTCTAGTAGCCAGAAGAATGTTGAAAAGGAAAGCCAAAGTTGGTGGCATCACAATTCCAGACTTCAAGCTCTATTACAAAGCTGTCATCATCAGCACAGTATGGTACTGGCACAAAAACAGACTCATAGATCAGTGGAACGGAATAGAGAGCCCAGAAATGGACCCTCAACTCTATAGTCAACTAATTTTTGACAAAGCCGGAAACAATGTCCAATGGAAAAAAGACAGTCTCTTCAACAAATGGTGTTGGGAAAATTGGACAGCCACATGCAGAAAAATGAAACTGGACCATTTCCTTATACGACACAGAAAAATAGAGTCAAAATGAATGAAAGACCTCAATGGGAGAGAGGAATCCCTCAAAATCCTTGAGGAGAACACAGGCAGCAACCTCTTTGACCTCAGCCCCAGCAACTTCTTCCTAGAAACATCACCAAAGTCAAGGGGAAAAATGAACTGTTGGCACTTTATCAAGATCAAAAGTTTTTGCACAGCAAAGGAAACAGTTAATAAAACCAAAAGACAACTGACAGAATGGGAGAAGATATTTGCAAACGACATATCAGATAAAGGGCTAGCATCCAAAATCTATAAAAAGCTTAGCAAACTCAACACCCAAAGAACAAATAATCCAATCAAGAAATGCACAGAGGACATGAACAGACATGTTCTGCATGTCTGCAAAGAAGACATCCAGATGGCCAACAGACACGTGAAAAAGTGCTCCACATCACTCAGCATCAGGGAAATACAGATCAAAACCACAATGAGACACCACCTCATACCAGTCAGAATGGCTAAAATTAACAAGTCAGGAAACGACAGATGCTGGCGAGGATGTGGAGAAAGGGGAACCCTCCTACACTGTTGGTGGGAATGCAAGCTGGTGCAGCCACTCTGGTAAACAGCATGGAGGTTCCTCGAAAAGTTGAAAATAGAGCTACCCTATGACCCAGCAATGGCACTACTATATATTTATCCTAAAGATAAAAATGTAGTGATCCGAAGGGGCCTGTGCATCCGAATGTTTATAGCAGCAATGTCCACAATAGCCAAACTATGGAAAGAACCTAGATGTCTATCAACAGATGAATGGATAAAGGAGATGTGGTATATATATATATATATATATATGCATGCATGCAGTGGAATACTATGCAGCCATCAAAAGAAATGAAATCTTGCCATTTGCAACGACATGGATGGAACTAGAGGGTATTATGCTGAGTGAAATAAGTCAGTCAGAGAAAGACGATTATCATATGATCTCACTGATATGAGGAAGTAGAGAGGCAACATGGAGGGTTTGGGGGGTAGTAAAGGAATAAATGAAACAAGATGGGATTGGGAGCAAGACAAACCATAAGACACTCTTAATCTCACAAAACAAACTGAGGGTTGCAGGGGGGAGGGGGGTTGGGAGAGGGGGGTGGGGTTATGGACATTGGGGAAGGTATGTGCTATAGTGATTGCTGTGAAGTATGTAAACCTGGCGATTCACAGACCTGTACCCCTGGGGCTAATAATGCATTACATGTCAATAAAAATAAATAAATAATAAATAAATAAAGTATCTTGAATGCTAGATAATTAACAGAATAAACTATGATTTGAATAGTATTAATGAATATTCACATAATATAGCTTTAGATTATGCATATTTTTCTTTGCTTATCATTTGGAAAGAAAATGTTTATTTAAATTCAAATAGCCAACATATATTGCATCATTAGTTTTTGATGTAGTGTTCAATGACTCATTTTCATTTTTTACTGTTTCAGAGATTATTAAAAATAGTGATAAGGAAATTTTAGGTAACATTTAATGACTACTACATATATACAGAACATTATGCCATCAAATACTTTATTGACTTCTGTAGAAATGAAACATGAAAAATTTGAAAAATACTCAAGTTAGAACAATTTAATAGATGTCTTCTGTGATATTTATTGCATTGGAAAGTACTTAGTAATATTTTTAGTATAGACTCAAATACCAGAGAGAAATGGCCATTTGATCTCAAAGAGTTCTATTTGTCTTTTTAATTTGAATCATTACGATCTCTTTTCATTATTTAATAACAGGACTGTTCCCTGACGTGGGTGGAGGTTATTTCTTGCCACGACTTCGAGGAAAACTTGGCTACTTCCTTGCCTTAACAGGATTCAGGCTGAAAGGAAGAGATGTGTATGCAGCAGGAATTGCTACACATTTTGTAGATTCTGAAAAGGTAATTACTTGGATTATATGTTTTGTTGTTGGAATAACTTGTATTGCACGGGAAGGGAGTCTAAGTGGTTGAGATCCCAGGCTTTGGTTAGATGTGGGTCTGAATCCAGGATTTACTGTTTAAAGCTCTGTGACCTTTGGGAAGGTAATTAAGCTCTCCAATCATGTTTTCTCATGTATAAAATGGAGATAAATATTTCTGGATTCAGGACTGTTTTGCTTGGTTCCGTCAGTGAATATTTTTTCATGAATAATTACACTTTGGTTAAAAAAAATACCTACTTTAAGGAATTCTAATATAGAAGAATCTAAAATTATATATGAAAAGATAAGCTTTTATTTTATAAAAACATTTTTGAAAGGTCCTCTTGGTTGTGAGTTTCCCTGCTAGTGCATTTAAGAGTTAAATTTGTAAAATATGGTTTTAAAAACTTTTCTAAAGGCTGTTGCAAGGGATACATACTACTTAGCTTTGTCCTTTTTTTTTTTTTTTAACAGTGTGCCCAATTTTCTTAGCACAGAATAGCACTATGGCAAAGAATGTATAGACACCTTAGAGTTAAATCCTAGCTTGAATTGAGCCTCTCTCTAAGTGGGGATGGTTGTTCCTCCCATAGTAGTTGAATCTCTTTGTGGTTAATGTAGCAGAAAATCCAGTCCTAGGTGGTTTTATCTCAGAATTTCCAGCAAGAAATTTGGGGTTTATTCTGCTTCAGCTGGGAGCTCACTCTCCTCGAACAAACTTCTATTACCCTTCAACCCACGAGCCAGTTAACCTACATCAGCTAACCCACCTTGCTAGTGTGTGCTGTTTCTGGAACTGTGGGGTGAACTTAGTTTTCCAGGAGGAAGCACATCGATCTCCAGATGGATATCTGATCCTGAGTGAGGGATGTTCTGGTGTAGGAGAAAGAATGTCATGACAAAATAATGAGAATCTTCTATCACATTGTTTCAAGTTTCAGATCTCTCTCCATGTCTGTAGTCACCTTGAGTAGGTGGCTGCCCCATCTTTCCCTTTAGCTGTAAAGCGCAGCAACCGTGGCACTCCATTATCTACTCTGGAGGGATACCCTTATTAGAGTGGAATTTAGTAAGGATGGGAGAGAGCACTGATCCGCACTTTACTCCCTTCTTTGTTAGTCTGCCCGCTTGTAATTTCTACAGTGTGTAGACTGCCACTCGCAGGGCCTGCACAGGGTAACAGAAATGGGTCATGAATGTTAGGGATGAAACTAGAGGTGGGTACAAAAGATAAAAGGTAAATAACCATCTGTCTCATCTGACAAAGAATATGAGACAAAGAATATGGAGAAAGTACTCAGCGGATTGAAAGGAGGAAAACTGGAAGTTTCCTCATAGAGGTTGCAGTTCAGCTGGGCTTCAAGATGAGTGCGTCAGGAAAGGCATTCTAGGAAGAGGAAACATGTAATGAGCAAGCGAGTGGGCAGGAAGACTTAGCTGTGTTTTGGAAACAGTAGAAAGTCTCACTTGGCTGAGCAGGGATGTGGATGGAGAGCTAAGTGTGGCCGTTTTACAGAGCTGTGCATTGACGGTAGTACCCGTTATCACCTGTGGCAATTTTAGTTAAGATTAATTAAAGTTTATCATTCACATCTTTGGTTGCAGTACTGCGTTTCAAGTGTTTAATAGAGAGAAACAAAGACGAATGTCTCTCTCCTCTTTAGTTTCTTCCATCTTTGTCTAGTTCTTTGCAAGGCAACATTTGCTGTGTGGGAATGTGTGTGCATTTAACTTCAGAGAAAATTGCCTTCCTGATTCAGCTGAAGAGAGCACATCATAATTTTAAGACAAGTGTTTTTAAAAAGAGTACAAGGTTTCTTAAAAAAAAAGTCTCTGTTTTATACTGGGGTTCAAATTTGTCTTCCTTTCCCCCCCCCCTTTTAGTTGGGCATGTTAGAAGAAGATTTGTTAGCCCTAAAATCTCCTTCAAAAGAAAATATTGCAGATGTCTTGGATGCTTACCATGCCAAGGTAATCTTTTCAGTATTCTAGCTTCAGATTTTAATTCACAGGGCAGGGGGAATGATTGAAAAATTAGCAGTTGGTGAATATGATAGTTTATGGATACAAAGGTACTGGGATTTATTAACGTGAAAGCTTGATGGAAGGATCAGAGCTTCAGAGTTGCTGGATAGCCTTCCAAGAGGATGACTTCTTTGCAGCACAACAACACAACCTTTCTTCTGACTGCTGGTGAATTTCAGCATGTAGCCTTGTGACTGGTCCTCGCAAGGACTTCCTGCAGTGCACTGTGACATTTTTGTAATGGATGGCTCAGTGCTGGTGCTGTTTAGCTGCTAACGTGAAACTCTGGTGCATGTCTATACATAATGACAAGGTCTAATGCAGTGTTCACTTTCAATTCCTGACTAATGTTCTGTAACTTAAGTTTTCTTTTAAGAGCCAAAAATCTTTAAAACTGTTACATGACTTCTAGTAAAACATGATGGGTAGAATACATGCTGTCTTCTAAAACCTCACTAAAATTGTAAAAAAGAATGGAAGAGGCACAAATCCCCAAAGACAAAACAGAAAAGGAGCAGGTAGGTATGAGAGGTCAATATTTTGGAAGCTTGAAAACAGAAGGACGAGGAGAGCCACCCTAGATCTGAGAATACTGCAGTTATCTTCTCCTTCGGTGGGGAGCCGGTAAGAAGCAAAGCAGTTCTCTCCCTCTGCCCTCTCTGAGGTGCCAGAGTCCCCAGAAGACGGGGACGTGGAGACGGGCAGAGAAACGAGAGGAGCAGTTGGGCCTCCAGAATTCTCCAGAATTCTCCCTGCTGTAGCACCAACTACCCTTTCATCGCTGGGCTGAAGAGTAGGAATTTACTACTTAGGTCCGATCAGACAGACCCAGCTGACTGTGGGGGAGGACGAAATGAAAGTGCTCTACTAAAAAGAGGCAGAACATAATAAACAGGAGACCTCCAGCCTCTTTTCCTAGTTGGCTTCCAAACTATTAAATACCCTCTGTCTTGGTCTGGGCGACTATAACAAAAACACCACAGGCTGGGGGCTTAAACAACACCAACTTATTTCTCATAGGTCTGGAGGCTGGAAACTCCAAGATCAGGTGTCAGATAATTAGATTCTTGGTGAGGACCTGCTCCTGTGTTTGCAGATGGACAGACACCTTCTTTCTGTGTCCTCACACCGCAGAGTGAGCTCTTTCAGGTCCTTCTTACAAGGGCACTGATCCCTTTGTGAGGGCTCCACCCTCTTGACCTAATCACCTCAGGGCCCCCCCTTCCAAGTACCATCACTTTGGGTATTAGAGGTTCAACATGAATTTTGGGGTGACACAAACATTAGGTCAGTAGCACCATCCCACTCCTAAGCAGTACATTCGAAGAAAAAGGAAAAAACCTGTAGAGGTTGACATTTGAGGACCCCCTCCACAATGAACATCCAGGTCTTTGCCCAGTCTTTTGTGATGCATCAGACAATTGATAGTCCTGTTACTGCGATTGACTTCATACAGGAAGCTCCTCAATTTTAGTACTTCATGCTGAAATTTTTTTATGCCAAGTGTAAAAACAAATCGGTCAAAGCAAAAAAAGGCACTTGAAGCAAGCAGTGCCGGGAAAAGGACACTTAAAAAAAGAAAGAAAAACTATAGTTGTGGAAACTATAATTGTTCAGATAAGAGGAAAATATTTCATCTGTGAAATAAGAACAGATGGAATACAGCAGTCAAAGAATTTTTTAAAAAATGTGATAACAAAAGGGAAAAACCCCACAAGAGACTGGATTATAGTTGAAGGTTGAGGAAAACTCTAGGAGGACAAAAAGGATAAAAAGGTGGAAAATGGAGAGGAAGGAACATTAGAGGTGTTATTCCAACAGGTTCATATCTCATTATTAGGAATTCATAATAGAGAAGAAAAAGGGGAGGAGATACTTAGAAAGATAGTCTACACATTTGTTCAGAACCGAAGAACATGAGTACAGGTTGGCCGAGGCCCTGAAGCCTCAGTGCGGCGAGTGCAAATGCGGAGCCCGGGACGGTTTCATCAGCTTTTGTCAGAGCATTTGACAATCTTTCATGTTGTCTGTATAGCATGGGTCAGAGCGAGTGGGAGTCGAAGGGCCTTACCAGAGAGTTCTGCTAAATGTGTGGGCATTAGTCTAGAGAGAAAGTCATCTTGGCCTTTTTGTTTCTTTCCCAGTAATTCGGATGACAATGTTGATAGCATTTTGATCAAATTGATTTGAAATTAAGAAAAAAATTAGGTAAAGGATTATGGATTAAAAAAACCCTTCAAGTTTAGAGTGACCTGTTTAATAGTATCAGTGTGAAAGGTAATAAATTATGGGAAAAACACTCGCTGTGTTTTCCGTTATTCTCACACTACTACCACATTCACAACTCTTCTGACCCTAGGTGTGTGGCTTTTCTATACACGGAGCAGTTCAGCGCAGCACCACCTGGGTGTCCTGTAGTTTGTTCATTTCGGGAGTGACACTTTCCTCCTGGGGTTAGCGATCCCGCACCCCAGGAGCTCATCCCCACAAGACTGACCCCACTTCAGATGCCGGTCACAAGGCCTGTCTGTCACCTGTACTTCTCATTGGCCGTAAATCAGTGTCCTCATGGCCCTTTCTTAGGTTCCATAATTTGCTAGACTTTCTCACAGAAATGGAAACATTTAGTGTTTGTTGGTTTAATACAAAGGATACAATAAAGGATATGAATGGATAGTCTGCTGAAGGGCACACAGGGCAAGGTTCGGAAGGGTCTCAAGTCCAGGAGCTTCTGTCTCAGTGAGGGTGGGATGTGCTACTCTCCCCACTTGTATTTTTTTTTTTAAAGATTTTACTTATTTATTTGACAGAGATCACAAGTAGGCAGAGAGACAGGCAGAGAGAGAGGGGGAAGCAGGCTCCCTGCTGAGCAGGGAGCCCAATGTGGGGCTCGATCCCAGGACTCTGAGATCATGACCTGAGCCAAAGGCAGAGGCTGAGCCCACTGAGCCACCCAGGCGCCCCTCTCCCCTCTTGTGGATGTGTTCATTAACCCGGAGCTCTCCAAACACCATCCTTTGGGACTTCTGTGGCGGCCTCATTAATAGTCACTATTGATTAAGTTATGAGCCATTGGTGATGGAACTCAATCTCGAACCCCTTTTCCCTCACTGGAAGTGGAGGGAGGCAGGAGATAGTGGCAGTGCTGGAGCGGGCTTGATTAGAAGGTGGGACTGAAAGTTCCGCTCTTCTAATCACAGGTTGTTTCCCCTGGAGACCAGCCCCATTCTTAGGAGCTTTCTGAAAGTCACCTCCTTAACGTACCTGTGATGGAATGGGGCTTGTTATGAATAACAAAGGGCCCGTTTCACCTTAATTTAGGGACAAATGACCAAACCCAACAAAAGATGCTCTTCTTAAAGAAATTTCAAGGTTTTGGGGAGCTGTGAGCCAGGAATAAGGAACAAATATATAGGCAAAGACTGAATATATATTTATTATTTCATTTTTTAAGATTTCATTTCTTTTTTTTTTTTTTATATATTTGTTTGACAGCAGGAGGGATTACAATTAGGAAAAGAGGCAGACAGAGAGAGGGGGAAGCAGGCTCCTCGCTGGGCAGGAAGCCCGATATGGGGCTCGATCCCAGGACCCTGAGATCATGACCTGAGCTGAAGGCAGAGGCTTAACCCACTGAGCCACCCAGGTGCCCCAAGATTTTATTTCTAAGTAATCTCTCTATACCCAACGTGGGGCTCAAACCTACAGCCCCATGGTCAGGAGTCACATGCTGTACCACCTGAGCCAGCCAGGTTTCCTTGTATTTCTTATTTTAAATCACGGATCACAAGAGAGATAAATGAAAATTTTGGATTTCAGTCCAAAGTACCAAATTCATAAAAGTACAGCATGGGAGAAATGTAGCCTATAACAGCACCGCTTTAAAAAAGAAAAAAAATAAAAGACACTAGAACTTTCCCCAAAGTAACTCAGACTTAGTCCTGTCAGTAAAAACATTGTATCCAAACACACAAAGATACATGGAGCCAGACACACTCTGCTGGGATCCAGTCATACCTGTAGCGACTGTGTCTGCTCCACACTTGGTAAACTGGGGCTCCATGGAAGCAGAACCTGACTGTGAGGGGCCAGCAAGCTGCGGTCTGAGAAAAGAAGTGGAAGAGGGAGTCACCAGAACTGCAAACGTGAGAGGACGGACTTGGCCCCAAATTTTAAAAAAAATCCCGATTACGTTTATTCAGGCACTGCGAGCTCCTTCTCACGCTCATGTTTTCTCTCCCTGAGGTCATGCTGCAGACATGTCGGGAATGTTGGTGGGAGTTTTCTGTATCAAATGGAAATTTGTTGGTCAGGGTCACTTCTCCAGTCCCTCACATCCTTAATTCGTTGCCATACTTTAGTGATAATGTAGCAAATAGAATAATACAGCAGTAAAAATAAAAGAACATGTTTTGCTGTCAGCACTTTTGAGAACCAGTCTGGAATAACCCTCTGAGTTTTGAACATGTGGTTACTATTTCTGAGACTGTTGGATATAATTTGACTGAAAGTGATAATCTGTCATAAAGTGTATCATTAAATAGGATAACATTTTAAAAGGTTTTTAGATGATTCAGGTTGCTTCAAGTAAATTACAAGATTTTTCTTTTTTAAACAGTCCAAGATTGATCAAGACAAGTCTTTTATACTTGAGGAACACATGGACAACATAAACAGGTACTCAGAGGTCTCAGTATGTCTGTTCTTTTGTAAGGACTGCATTAAATTGAATTTGCTAACACTGTAATTACATTGTGTTCAATAATGCATTGCATTCTGAGATCAGATGGCATGGTGCTTGTATTTATTTTGTTTAAAGTAGCTTCTTTCCTACTCTTTTGGGAAGAATATAAGTCCATTATAGTGAAATAATCTATCTCGCTGATTCATTTTAGTGCAAAACATTTTTTTTATGGGAATGGAGGCTGGAAAATAACAATTGAATTATCTTTTATCTTTGTAAAGTCATTTTTTATGGACTTATGAAGCTGATCAGCAAAAGATTTTTTGTGTAGCGATTTGAGACATTGATAGACTGGCTTAAGGAACAAAGGGAAGGATAGAAACTATTGGAAAATAACACAACTGTCTCTACATTTTAGAAGCATCAATTTTTCACAGTTAAGGTATTTATTTATATGTAATAGATGCAAGGAAGCATTAAGAGAAAATTTCAGCTTTATTTTGTACTAATAAAAATAGACTGCAGACGCTTACCCAGAGAAGCAAGGTTTTATTTCATCATCCTGTAAAATAGCGTGGAAAATTTTTCATTATTGAAATGGAGTTTGGGGAAAGCCTGTGTTTAGATTCATTTCTATTTTGGAAAGAAGAAATTGCTTGCAGATTGGTGAAATCATGTGTTTCCTTTTTTATAGTTGGTTCTCGGCCAATACTGTGGAACAGATAATTGAGAATTTACAGCAAGATGGTTCATCTTTTGCCCTAGAACAGTTGAAGGTAATATATGGATCTTTTCTGTCCTGAGTGTGGTGAAACCTTGTGGTAAGGAAGCCTCTCCAGAGCCTCTTGTGTCCGAGGTCCATGGCGGGGACATGAACCACTGCACAGGTTTTGGGTGGGGGGGGGTTGTCTTTTGTTTTTTCCTGAACTCAGTTGAGTCTCAGAAAGCATTTTCACAAAACCTGTATCTAAACCAAGTGCCTTGTCTCCCTGCTGGAAGTTGATAGCAAAGTTGAGCTGTTTTTAGGTCCCATGACTGTAGCAGAGAGAGACATCAGCAGGCATGCCTCTTCTTCAGGGAGCCCTCTTTGTCCTGGGGAGAAGCATTTAGGGACGTTTTTATTAGAAGTGTTGGGTTACTGGAGTATAGTTTTTTTTATAATGTATGGTAATTCTGCCATGAATCTATAAATTCAGTTGAATATGCAACAGATCAGTATATGGTCTTTCTAAGCAGTAGGTTTAATTAAAAAACAAAACAAAACAAAACGATTCTTTTTAAACTAGTAAGAGGCCCTTCTATACTCAGAGCTGAGTTTTAAGCAGTGTTTCTCAGTGTTAGGCACACTTTGATTTTTCTACAATGTGACTTGACTGGTAACAGCAAAACAAAAGCCATTTTGTGTAAAGGAGTGCATGAGTACTGCCATGCTCGGAGCTGTGAGCGTGCGACTCGGGACATTTCAGACGTCTACACAAAGAGAAAGAAGTGTGTTTCCTTCTGCTTTATAGAAAAGCTGTTAATATCTTGTCCTTATTTGATAGTATTTTTCAGTTTGTAGGTATAATTGTCACGTTTCAGTAGTCAGAAAACTTACAAAATATTTGAAGTTTCACCTGTGAAGATAAAAACACTTCCCCATTTTTACTATATTGTCTCTCTCTCTCTTTCTCTTTTTTTTAAAGATTTTATTTGAGAGCTGCTCTTGCACATCAGGGTTGATGGGGAGCAGAAGGAATAAACAGATGGATAAGCAGACTCCTCACAAAGCGTGGAGCCTGACAGCCCAAGCAGATGGGGGGGCTCCATCCTAGAACCCCCTGACCTGAGCGGAAGGCAGACACTTAACCGACTGAACTACCAGGCACCCCTCCCGTTGTGAACTATATTCTTAACGTGGAAATCCCAAATTAGTCTCGTAGGGTCTTATTTAGTAATTAGAATTCTATTAACATTCAAGGCCAGGCATAAATTAGAGTAGATTGCCCAGTCATATGCTGTCTTAACTCACCATAGTAAATTAATGTGAATTTTAACAGCTTTTAGGAATGCTCGCATAAATCTACACAGTCATTTTATATTTCAGGGATTCTAATGTGAAGCTGGTTCTTTTGTTTCCAGAGCAATATAGAAACTAGCATTCCTGTTTTTCTCCCCAAGCGGTTAAGTAGACACTTAGTACTTTCGTTTGAACATAGTCATGCAGCACATTACCTCATGCCTGTATGATGTCACTTTAAAGCAGTACAGATGTGCAAGATGGCATATTATTTTAAAACCACTGGCCTACCCCAGAACCGAGGGATAGAACTCAATATTCTTTCAATATTCTTCCTATTCCTTTGGCAATATGATTAGTCCGCACCCAGAGGAGGGCACCTGGCAAGCCGCCCATCACAGCGAGGATCACCCTAGGCTAGGGTCACGGTAAGCACTCTCATCAGAAGGACAGGTTTTGATTTTTATTCAGTTGATGTGTAGTTCAGATGTGGCTCCAGAATGTTAGTATCTGCTGGAAACAACGTGACATGAAGATCCAAAATCCCCGCTGAGGCTTCTCTGATAGAGCCTACATGCAAGGTTCGTTTTAATTATCTCGGCCAGAAACATACGCCAAAAAGTAGCCCTGAAGGAGAAAATAGCTTTTGTTGCCTCAGTGAAAGGTTTGCAGATCAAATGTTTGAACAATTTTTTTTTTAAAAGATTCTAATACTTGTGTCAGTAAGCTTCTAGGGTTGCTCCTAACCCCTGTGAGCCCTTCAGGGACTCCTGTCTCCTTCTGTAGGTCCTAAGGATCTAGTCTTCTTATGGTCCAGATTGCAACCACCTTCTCTATGTATAAGGGTTCCTTTCCACAATTGCCCATGGGGAAGGACATCATCTTTTCCACATACTTGCTTATCATTAAATAAAAACAAATTTTTTTAATCCTTTAGATTTCTAAAGTTTTTGCTGCTAATCACTGAAGGATAGCATGGGTTAAAAAAAATAACAAATATGAGTAACTCATAAATTCCTTACAACTGATGCAATTTTCATAGTACCTTAGTTTATGTTTCTTCATGTCCTTTCTTAGATTTTCCTTCAAAGTTCAGTACTTTTTTTTTTAATGCTTGTGGTTGGAATTCCTCTAATCCCCCCCCCTTTTTAAAGATTTTATTTATTTATTTGACAGAGAGTGAGATCACAAGTAGGCAGAGAAGCAGGCAGGGGGTGGGGGGAAGCAGGCTCCCTGCTGAGCAGAGAGCCCGATGCGGGGCTCAATCCCAGGACCCTGGGATCATGACCTGAGCTGAAGGCAGAGGCTTTAACCCACTGAGCCACCCAGGCACCCCCTCTATTCCCCTTTAAATCTCCCTTTTGGTATAGGTTGTTCATGATGCTAGACCGTCCGTGTAAGCTATATGGGCAATTTAGAGGTGCTGATGTGTAGCTCACATTAGGGAAAACTTAACCTAAGTCTCCAGTTGCCATGCTCTTGTGTACGTGTATGTACATTTTAATTGTGGTAAAATACATATAAAATTTACCATCTGCATCATTTTAAGTATGTAATTCAGTTTTGTTGAATATATTCACTTGGTTATACAACCAATCTCCAGAACATTTTCATCTTACAAAACTGAGTGAAACTTTATACCCGTTAAATAACTCCCCATTTCCCCCTTACCCCAGCTCCTGGCAACCACTGTTCTACTTTCTGTTGCTACAAATATGACTACTCTGGATACGTCACATAAGTGGAATCATACAGCATTTGCCCTATTGTGATTGGCTTATATCACCTAGCATGATGTTTCACGGTTCACACATGTTGTAGCATGTACCAGAATTTCATGACCTTTTAAGGCTCAATAATATTCCCTTGTATGTATATACCACATTTTTCTCATCCATTGTTGATGGGCACTTAATTTGGGTTGCTTCTTCCTCTTCGCTTTTATGAACAAAGCTGCTGTAAACGTGGGTACATATACCTCTTTAAGGGCACCTGGGTGGCTCAGTTGGTTAAGCAACTGCCTTCAGCTCAGGTCATGATCCTGGAGTCCCGGGATGGAGTCCCACATTGGGCTCCCAGCTCCACAGGGAGTCTGCTGCTCCCTTTGACCTTCTCCCCTCTCATGTTCTTTCTCACTGTCTCTCACTCGAATAAATAAATAAAATCTTAAGAAAAATCTCTTCAAGACCCTGCTTTTAATTTGTTTGGATATATACCCAGAAGCAGAATTTCTGCGTTATATGGTAATTCTGTTTTTAATTGTTTGAGGAATCTCCATCCTGTTTTCCATAGCAGTTACACCATGTTATATTCCCACCAACAACAGTGTATAAAGTTTGCCAACTCATTATTCTCTATCTTTTTTCTACCATCCTAATGGCTATGAGGTGACAGTTCATTGTGGTTTTGATTTACGTTCCCTAATGGTTAGTGAGATTGAACATCTTTTCGTATGCTTGTTGACCATTTGTATCTTTGGGAAATGTCTAGTTCAAGTCCTTTGCCCATTTTTTTAGTTAGGTTTTTGTTTTTTGTTTTTTTTTTCCATTTTATTTTATTTCATATCTTTTAAGTGTTCCAGTGGGTTTTTGGTGTTTTGTTTTGTTTTGTTTTGTTTTTTTTATAAACATATATTTTTATCCCCAGGGGTACAGGTCTGTGAATCGCCAGGTTTACACACTTCACAGCACTCACCATAGCACATACCCTCCCCAATGTCCATAACCCCACTCCCCCCAACCCCCCTCCCCGCAGCAACCCTCAGTTTGTTTTGTGAGATTGAGTCACTTATAGTTTGTCTCCCTCCCAATCCCATCTTGTTTCAATTATTCTTCTCCTACACCCTTAACCCCCCATGTTGCATCTCCACTTCCTCATATCAGGGAGATCATATGATAGTTGTCTTTCTCCGATTGACTTATTTCGCTAAGCATGATACCCTCTAGTTTCATCCACGTGGTTTTTGGTTTTTTAACACGATTGAGCTGTAGGAAATGCTCTCCTGTTTCATCTCCCTTTTCTGGTAGTAAGACTAGAAGGCTTGCCAAAGTAAAGAATGTTCTTCAGGGCCAATGAGAAAGTGTTTATTTTTTAAAATTGCAAGTGATATCAGTAATCAAAGAAAGATGAGTAGAAGAGATTGAGACCCTACCCTCCCAAAGCGCAACTGTGTCAGCAAGGACACTACGCCCAGGAAAGGTATCTCAGTAGGATCACTAGTCCTTAGTGCTAGAGTAGGAAGTCCATGGCCAGAGAGAAAAATAAGAACAAGGAACAGGGTGTCCAGTTAGTGTCCAGGAAGGAGTTCCTGAGCAAATGGCCAGGGAAACCCATGCTGTTTTTGACTTGTGTTTTAGGTGTTTATTCTTAGTGATCGATATGAGAGAGGAGAGGAGAGGAGAGGATAGCCTATTGTGTCAAAGGCTTAAAGGGCATATAAGTTCCTTTTTAAAATATTAGATAACTTTTAAAATTCTTTGGAATTTCTTTTAATTACCAGTGTGGGATTTATGTATTTGTTTACTTTTGAATGCTCATTTTGTGAAGAATAAAAGAAACTCAGGTTTATACTTGAAGTTAGTATTTTAGAATATGAAAAGCTCCTGTAAAATCATACACATGAAAAATTTGGGAAAAAGGAAAACTAAGGATAATTAGGTATAGATTTTAAGAAAGAAGAACAGCAAAATATTAGAGAAATTAAATTTTAAAGATTACTAATCTTTCTGTAAGCTTTGAGAATTAGCCATGTACTGTATTATTTTTAAAAATTAAGTG